CTCATCCTGAGCGCGCGCTCGCTTGACGCGCCACACGAGCCATCTTTATTATCCTCTTTTTCAATGCCCACATCAATAAATATAAAAAAATAAACATTTCTGCTTTGTTATTTGTAAACAACAAAGTATTTTGTTGTCTACGTTTCTAAACAATCTCAGAAAGTTCCCACTGAGTGCTGGAAGAACCATTCGTACCTTATCGTCGCTATAGTTTATTGCAACCTATAATATGAATAAGAGGCTTCGCCCACACTGAAGGAAGGAGCAGAACTATAGCCCTCCTCTAGTAGAATACTGCTAAGCGGAATAAAGTAACAAAATTGTGAGCTGGTTTAGTCGGTGACACTCAAACATGATGTAAATGCAATAGCGCAAAACAATGAAGACTTGGGCGAGGAACGAGCGACACAGAAAGCTCTACAAATCTGTCTTGTGTTGTTCGTTCCTCTCCCTAGTCTCCGTCTTGTGCGCTGTTACACCTGCGTCATGTTCGCTATTTCCAAGCGATTGCATCTGGTTATTGAAGCGCACGTTTCTCGGTGTCCGGTTCTGTGACGCTAGAAAAATTGTGCATTTATATAGTAGCGCCATTTTTCTTCGGGTATTGGAGGCGGAGCTTTTCCTACAGATATGTTTCTACAAGGGCTGTCACGAACTTTTGTCGACCCAGATTTTTACATCGAACCTCAAGGTTCAACTGGTTCGACAAGCCTTCGAACTTTAAACCAGGTTCTACAAGGTTCGACTTTGTGGACGGTGTAATAGACTCTGGTACAAGCATTTCTAGGTTTAGAGAAAATGTTTTTACGGAAGAGCTTCTTTTAGTTTATGCATAGTTACAATCACCGGAACATATTTTTAATAATCTAAAAGTTAATATCATAATTTATTCTTGCTATATTACCGAAAAAAAAACAGTTTTGCACTTACTACAAGTAGAATGTTTGACTTGAACATTTGGTCATCACCATCCAATCCAAAGCCAACTGAGACAGCCCTTCGCGCATGCGAATAACAGTCAAACCTTAGTCGAACACTTGAACTTTCCAATAAAAGTTCAAAAAAGCCGAACCCGGTCGAGGTCGTACCTTAACCGGTTCGCGAAATTTCTAGTTGCAGCGCACATATGACATTAGGTGGGAACTCCGCCGATTTTTTTACTGATAGTCCTCGATTTGGTTGGAATTTGTCAGACCGCGTCATAACCCTTTCTCAACCGATAGCCAAAATATTTTATATAAAAAAAATTTGAAGTTATTGAATATTTAGTTTTCTCCGGTCGCGAGGGTTCCAGGAGGTGAAATGGCAGCAATGAAAAAATCCCTAATTTTCCCTACCTGCGTACGTCACCGGCGGGCGGGCGGACGAGCGACCCGGGCAGTCGCGAAGTGGCTTTCTGGGCGCCAGCGATCGAGATTATTTTTTTCACAAATTCAAGGTCGAAAGAGTCTTTGTGATGGACAGCAATCTGTGCTCCGAGGTAGATTGTAGGAACAGTGCCGGGAAAAGCTTCTTTTAAATCCTTGTTTTCGTGGGGGAAAAAAAAAGCGCTCTCCGACTGCAATGGAGGCCAGCCAAGTCAATGTGCTTTTGCGCGAACTGTGTGTCGAGAGAACTATAGTAGGTTACAAGTCAAGAAGGCAGCGTCAAATGCCCCTCAAAGGGAATCATATATCCCTCCACCACCTCCGCATCCAATAGCGTCCCATCGTTTCCGTGACGTCGTGGCCAACTGGCGAAGAAGGTCTTGCCTTTCTCTACATGCTTGCTTTATCTTTCGACTTTGACTTAGCATTGTGGAAGCCACGAAAGGGAGATTAGAGTTTCCCCCTGCGATGGAAACAAATACAAATTTCGGGGATTAGGTTCCCCCTCCGATGGATACAAAGATCGCTTTCTTAAAAAGTGGAATTGTAGACAAGTTGGCATCACTCTGTAGCCAATATCTATCCATTGAAGCGGAACAAGGGGCGTTTCCAGTGAACTCTTTTTTCGACTGCGGAGGGATTTGAAACCGGCGCATCACGCTTGTGGGAGGAGCTTCTCCTACCTTCTTAACTTGTAATCGACAATATTGTCACTTGCAACATGCGCACTTACGCTCGGAATACTGCATAGCCGCGTGTTGCGAGTTGAGTATCCTTCTGCAGCTGGAACCGCTTCAAGAGCGGCAAGCGCTGACTCAAGCCGGCTGTGAGTACTACGGTATCTGCCCATAGAGGAGCGCTAATAATATCGTGAAAAATAGTGCACATTCTAGCACTATTATCGACATTCGGCGAAGTCACATTTGTTGCTCACAATTGCTTCGGTGTTTTTTAAATTTTTTTTTGTCATAAACATCATATCCCTTTTTGATATCGAATCTAGCTCGGGCTACTCTCGGAGTTCAACTCACGCGGCCGATCTCGACACACTGCCACTTGTGTCTGGTATTACAGAGGTTTATGAAGCAGGTGTCGAGCTCCGCTAATATACGATAAAGCCGTTGCCTGGTTTGTCAAATGGTTTTTGGCATTCAATATTCTCTCGCAGAAGGGGAGGTGAAAACGTCATTATTTTATTCTATTACGGAGAAATGTTATATGTGGCTGAAAAGTTTTTAAAGCCATGAAAATATTAATGTCATTGAGGGGAGGCATAAAAATGTGTAGCTGATAGAAACTGCGCAAAGCGAAAACTTAATTTAAAAAATCTTATCTAGAATTACATCATTTCCATGCGCACTCGTGGATCAGTGTTCGAGCGCGTTGCAATCTACTACGACATAAAAAAAAGAGAGAAGCATGGGTGCAGATTGTTTTTAGCAACTTTCGTTAACTTATTTTTAACTAAAACTTTTATGATGCGTTTCTGTACTTTACGCACTATAGTATCTTTTAAGCAAATATTTATTTGAAATTAAATATTGTATTTGTGTATTTTAAACGCCATTGATTGCACCTTGATAGTTGGCTTGGTGCATATCGAGTTATTTTAATTGTCATTTTAGCACGATCTTCATAAACAGTAACATGCCCCCTGGCCTACACGAATGCAGTTCATTCCATTTTATACATTTCAGTGTTTACAAGAACCACAGTCCACGTGTGTAAGGTCAAAGCCCAGTACGCGCGTGTTCACCACTTTGGAAGGCGAGCAAAGTACGCGCCACACGCACGATCACTGAAAATGACACCGACCAGACAAGAGTGCTTTTCTGGAATGGTCTATAGATATTTTGCTAAATAACGTAAGCACCAAAGGGCATATGCATGCTATAAAAGCAGTTACACGGGCTGACATCTGCAACAGTAACCTTTCTAAAGAAAATCGAAAGAAAATGGCACGTTCCTTCAAGTAACACGAACGTCTGTGGCACTTGCACGCCCATTCCGTGCATTCTCCGTGGTGCTCGGATAATTAGTCGAAAAATGTATTGCGTGATTCTTCGACCTTTCTTCGCGAGCCTTACTGCCAGTTTTTGATGGAAGGAGAATGGATTTGCTAGCGATTTCATGAAAATTGTGAGCTGCGGTTTGAGCGTACCGAGTTGCAAAAACGGTTTTCTCAAAAACCCCAATTGCTTTTTTTTTACCTTTCTCATACGTAGACCAAGGTCATACGTTGCACAAATAGATATTATTATCAACTTGAGTTGATAATAAGCCCTTATTTTCTCGCTTTTTGTCGCGAGAAAGGGGGGCGAGAGCCTACCCGAATGCCGGCCGGGCGTCTCGCTGCACGCCGGTGACGTCATGTATAGATAACAAGAAAAACTGGGGAAAAAAAACACAAAAAAACTGAGGATAAGGATGTTATGGTTCTGGCAGAGAACAAAATATAATTTTTTTTTAAAATTAACTACAGTGGATCTAGAGAAACGAGATAGCATTTCGGAATCAGGAAGCAATCCGCATTCAAATGATGCATCTGGATTAGATAGCTAAAAAAATTGTCGGAGCGTGGTACAGCACTTCGCGCTCTCCCTCTTTGCTCAGTACGTCCTCTTTTCTACCCTCTTCACCCTTCACTGCCCAGGTCGGATTACCCCCCCTCGCCGTTAATGAGGCGATTGCACGATTAGGGGAGGGGAGGGGGGCTAAGTTGGTTATCTTTCCTGTAGAAAACCGAGGCCATACGTCGGTGGTGAAGTTTAGAGCTACCAACCGACAAATACTAAAAGGACGAACGACAGAGTCATAGAGGAAATTAATATCAGGTTTTGTTTTCCGCCAGCTCTGCATGATGGCCAATGTACCTCGTTTTTTCATACTGGCTACTGCAGCTCAGTAAGATCGGTGGTTTGGAAAGAGCCGAGTTGGGTGGTCATTTTAGAATTCCAACCTATTAGTTAATACTCTGAACGGCACAGTTGCTTGATAGATGTGGCGAGTTTAGGACTCTGGGAGATTTAGAAAGGCAATTTTTATTATAAGGTTGAACACTGATTCCAAAATAAGTATTCTTAATCCTGAATGTAGATTGAACGGAAATCTGTTAAAAGGTGCATCGTTCGTTGACGGTAACTCTCTCAAATTGCTACGTCATTTCAGGCGAGGTCATTCTTGAGAAAAAAAAACATTTTGATTTTCAGTTTAATATCGGTTAATATATCGGTTACCGGTAAATAATTTAAGGTAAAGGTTACGGTTACGGTTTCAACAAATTTCAAATAGCGGTTTGGTTCCGGTTCCGGTTACTGAAAATATTTCGTTCCTAAACGGTTTTTGGTTTCGGTTACAGTTGCGGTGTGAGTCCCTGGGAGAAGGTCGACAGAATAATTTCGGCACTTTATCGGCGGGTTTAATCAAAGTGCCGAAATTGGCCTGTTGACGTACTCCACAAACATTTCATGAACGTCACATCACGTGGTTTACGGTTTGCGCGCTAATCTTTAGCCGGCTTTCTGATTTTCTTCGCTAATCGGGTAAGCATAAGGTTCGATGTTACTATGCCCTCCTATATACGTCCGATACGTTTCAACGAAACACGTTTCTGCATGGGCTGCCGTTACTCACCTGTTCGTTGTTGTACAGGTCGATAGCCTTGTATTCGTAGTCGATATGCTTCAGAGCCAACACTGTTTGAGAACGAATAAAAAAAGAAACAGAGAGGTGTATTTTGCACTCCAGAAATATTTGCCCGCCTCTATCTTTTTCGCACATCACTCGAAGAGTCAACTGCTTCAAATTATACATAGAGAAATCGGAGCGTGTACACGCCAGAAAAGCGTGGACATTGACGTGATACCAAGCATGAAGTCTTATAAAATGGATGTTCAGTGTATCCCATCGGAAAGTTGAGTTTTAGATCAAAACTTCTCGTCATTCATCAAGCTCCATCCATAAATTGCGGCGATTGACCCTTCTGTGCCGCGGCCACACTGCGAATACGTCATACGAGGGGCAGTCTGCAGATGTACTGTCTGAGGCTTGTTTCTTGCTTGTATGATGGTCACATCGGTGATGCCAAAACCGCCTGCAGACATGTAGAAGCAGACATATGTATAAAGCCATAGTCTCCTATATACTCATGAAGCTTGGCAGATCGCCACGAGAAGCGGCCACCGAAATGGAAAAAGTGGAGCAGCAGATAACGGGTGAAAGAAGAGCCGCGTGACTGGCGCCCCGATGCGGCGAGACGCCAAAACACATTTCTCCCGAGCGAACAAGTGTGTTTCGGGTCCTCGCCGCTGCAAAAGCTCTGCGCTGTCATCCAGGTTCCCGAGAAATGACTATTTGACGCTCTGTGCTACCAGATCCTCACGCTCTAAATCTGCGACCGGGCACTCTATAGGCCGATTCACATATACAGCGGAGCGCTCAGCTAGCGCCTCATGAGCGCTGGAAGCAGTGCTCATGTGACACCGACTTGCGCGTGACGTAGCACTCGGTTAGCGCTCCAGAAGCGCTTTAAAAGTAGGCGCTCGGTTAGCGCTTCAACAGCGCAATGTAAGGGTTCTTACGCTCCTTGTGCCGTGCTTGCTGGTGGGGAACAGCGCGTGCACGGCGATTCTGTTGTTATTGTTTTTTTCCTTTGACATTGAAATGAGAGGAAGTAAAAGAGCCGATCTCCAAGCAAACGGTCGGGCAAACGATCCAGAGTCATGGACTTTGAGCGACTAATTGATTGGGTACGACCTCACCGCTTTCTATTCTACAAGCGTGACCTTTGTTTCAAAGACACGCAGTTAAAAAAAATAATCACATTCGAAAAACCTCTGTGTCTCGGTCCCTGAGCCTGGGAACAAGGCTCTCCAGGTACCCGTCGGTATCTCGGTGGGGAAAGATTTTGCGCACCCAGAATTACTCTTCTGGGCGTTAAGCCGTCTACAGACATATGCACTAACTGCGTATGTAAGAGAATTTGTCGCGTATATATTTGAGTGTCCCGCATGTCCGCCATGGTGCTGCTGATGCACGCGCTAATACGCAGCAGTAACCGCGGTACGAGAAGCGCTAACAAGGCGCTACTGAAGCGCTAACAAAGCGCTACAGAAGCGCTAATCGCGCGCTACATTGAAACTAAATCACGCACTAGGAAGCGCCACATGAGCGCTCTTTTAAGCACTCACGTAGCACTCACTTAGCGCTCCACTGTATGTGTGAACAGCCCTTATGGCTACGCCGTCGAACTGCGAGGCTTTGTGACTACAGAGGAGACTATGTTGGGGTCAAATGCGCGAAAGCTTGAGGACCGTGCCTCGTGCGGTCTTTGGAAGCAAATGATGGCGCAGCACTGAAACGAGGGACCGTTGGAAGGGAATGGCGGCACGGTACTCGCTCGAGGCGCGTATTTGGCGCGTTCGCACAGCAATGGTTGGCGGTACTTCGAAGAAACGCGAAGCGTGGTCTTTATGAGTCGCCCTTTTCGCAGACGCAGCGGGGTACCCCACTGCGTCTCCGAAAAGTGATACACCCGCCGCACGTACGGCGGGTGTATCACTGGAACGCGTTTTACCCCCCCCCCCCCCCCCCCAGGCCGCATGGCGGCCTGGGGGGTAGGGGTTTTGGCGACAGTTTCCATGCGGCCTGGGGGGTAGGGGTTTTGGCGACAGTTTCCGGCCATGCAGCCTGGGGGTAGGGGGTTTTGGCGACAGTTTCCGGCCATGCAGCCTGGGGGTAGGGGGTTTTGGCGACAGTTTCCGGATGGCTGATTAAAAAATATTAACCCACCTGGCCTACCGTACACACCGCTTCGCTGCACCCCGCCGTCGGCCCAAGTAAAGCCCCTCGATGTGTCTGCGTTTGTCTTGCAAGTAGCGTCAAATGCGCCAGGGCACGAAGCCCGTTTCTCAAGCGGCCTTTGGAAGCAAATGGCGGCGCAGCACTGAAATGAGCGGCCCTTGGAAGCGAATGGTGGCGGAGCAGACGCTCGTGACACGTACGTGCCTTGCACGCTTCCACAAAAATGATTGGCGGTACGTGTAAGCGTGAATTTTATCGAGGGACTTTAGGCCCAAGTTCCGCTGTCTCCCATAGCAGATAGCCTTGTTCACGTCTCCTTTCTTGTATCTTGTCCTTGTGTATTTTCGGCGCCCTGAAAGTTATCATGAACCAACTAGCCCAGATTGCCATTCTAATGCTCCCATAGCAGCTCCGGAAAGGGAGTCCCGGATTTCATCAAGGGTCTTTAGTAGCTTTGTGTCTCAACGTTGCCTCAATATTACCAGGTCTGGCGGACTTTCCTTTTTTTGTTTCTGTGGAGCCCTTTTATGGTTTTTATTTTGGAACTCATACTAGGAATATCAGCGTCGAGCGGCAAGTTCGATGGCTCGTGTAAAAAGAATGTGGAAGCTTGGCGCCATCGCGTTCCTAAGCCGACACCGTTGAAGTTGGCAGTCTGATAGTTCACTTATATCTCTCGATTAAAGCAAAATTGATCAGCAACACTTCCTTTGATTTCCTTGCTCTCAAGACTGTGACTGACTGACTGCAAAATTGATGCTACTTAAATACTCCATAGTGTACGTCTGGCCAATCGTGGAAGTACCGGCCACAACGATGCTTTTGATCTTGCACGTCGCCAAAAGAAACGCAACGTATTCAAACATAAATTTGAATAGCAGGACGTCTCTTTTCAAAGTCCAAGACGCGCGTCGCTTTCCGTCGTGGTGTAGCTGTGCGTGCGCGCTCGAAGCCTACGAGGCGCCGAAAAGGTATCGTATAAGCAGGGAGTCGGGAAAACTCAAGGACCCTCTCCAATCCTCTCAGGGACTACATCGTTCATAAGGCGTCCGAAACTTGTGAGATCATCCTTATCAGGACGCGATGATTTGCAACTTGCCCTGAGCACGAGTTCCGAACATTCGTTTTGAACATAAACCATAACCAAGTAAAAGCAAAAAAGTGAAAGGGTAAGACGTACCTATCCTCACCCTGTACGAACAGGAACTGAGAAACTGGGAGTAGAGGACCGGCTGAAAGGAAAGATTTCTCAGTGGAAAACATCCAGCATTTCTGGAGGACGCAGGATTGTTTTCTGCGATCTCATATAGGGCTTCAGATAGCTGACAACAATGAGTTTAAAAGAGGGCTGAAGTGACGTTACTCCAAAGCGTAGCTCGTTGGGTGGCTCTGAATGCCCTGTTCACAATGCACCGTTTTCTTACGTTGCGGTATGTTACAGGAGCTCTCCTTACGCCCGAAGTTGCCAAAACATCCGTGATTCGTATGAAGCGCGGTAACCAATACAAGGAGTAGCTTTGCAGGCAGCGTACGAAACACGCGTCTCCTCGTGACTCATAACCTAAGGGCTGGTTCACGCACACCCGTTTTCTTACGTTACGTTACATTACGAAAGTTTACGTCTGGTTACGCCACAAGTTACCGGGACACCTGTGCTTTATATTAAACGTGGCTACCATTTCAAGGAGATAGGCCTGCATGAATGTTTCGGTAAATGTATGTTTCGGTGACTTCTACGTAAGCAAAAGAACGCAAGTAAACGGTGCTGTGTTAACGCCCGACCTACGAAAAGGTTTTTCGCGGTAGGAAAGTCCTTCTCGCCACTCTTTCCATTTCCACCTCTCCCACTGCTATCTTGACGGCGGAGGGACTCCTTTTGTTGCTGCATCTTGGTGCCATATGAAGGCCCGTTCACACTTTTGCGACTTCTTAAAACTGGAGTTCTTAGAACCTTTTACAACGAGAGGACACACTGGCGCCATCTATAGGTTAGCAGTGGAAACTTACCGGTCCGGCCTATTTTTCTATTTCTCTCGCGCATTATTCTTTCTTTCTCGGCTCGAAAAACTTTTGTATACGTTATAAACGAGCCTTTATTGCAGGTATTACGCACATTTTACCTCGGAAATACCGCAAAACCTTCGCTCTTGTGAAATGAAGTTCCAGGGTCACCGCATAGATGGCGCCAGCGTGCCGGTGTGTCCTGTCGTCCTAAGAAATTTTAAGTGGTTTTAACAAGTCTCGTCTCTCTTTGTCGTACTCGGTTGCAAGAGTGTGAACCGGCCTTGAGCCGGGAGCTTATCCCGGCTCATCTAGCCGCAAGATGGAGCAACAACAGGAGCAACAACAGGAGCCGTCAAGTTAAGAGTGGGAAAGAGGGAAACGAGAAGGGTTGCGAAGAGCATTTTCCTACCTTACCGGAAATGTTTTGTAGGTCGGCCTGACCATTTTCTTGCGTTTTCTTACGTCACGTATGACTTATAAGTCACCGAAACATTCATGTGTCAAATGTCGCGTGCCAGACTATCTCCTCGAACTCATAACCATGCTTAATACGAAGCACAGATGTACCGATGACTCGCGACGAAAGCAGACGAAAGCTTTTGTAACGTAACATAACCTATCGTTAGAAAACGAAACTGCGTGAACAAGCCTTAACGCTCCTGTGCGAATTAAAGTCATTGAATACTGGGAAAGTACACGTCATTGCATTTCCTGCCTGCTAGCTCGACACAAACAGATACTTCCATACAGACGACCAAACCCTCGGAAGGGGATGGGCTGATTGGTCTCTGTTCCATGGCAATCGCCAATTCGGTTCTTTAAAATTCGTGAAGCTTCGAAAAGGTCGTCCTGAACCAGCCGCGCTAAAGTCGCCATGGAACTTCATGGTACCGAAGGCGTTCGTCACCGATATGAACGACCCTGGCACTGTGTATATAAAATCAACTTATCAATCGTGCTCATCTTCTCAAACCTTCTAAATTTCTATTGTTCTTCTTGCGTATTTCAAAACATGAAAGTGATTTTTCAATTCCGCCAAGCACCGACGCCGTGTGTGGAGGCGGTGCGAAGATGTGCGCTTGTTTCGCCGCGGTGATATCAAAACCTTAGTATACAGTAAATGTCTCTGTGAAGCAACCTGTCACCGCGAATTCAGATCGGCTCACCAGGAACAGGGAGGTCAAAGAAAAGCTGTTAATTACGCAGACCAAAAAGGGCGACCAAAGCGGGGAGCTTGGCGCTTCTTTCCCAGGATCCACACTGCTAACACACACCATACAAAAGACGGTGTCTGCAGGGTCTCTTTTGTATAATATATAAGCAGCGTGCTTCAGAGTAGCTTCACTTCAGCTAGCTTGGGGCTTAAAGCATGCATGGTTGCCAATTATCGAAGCCTTACATCCAAAATCTAAGGAAACGATTTTTCACTTTACAGTATGTCTGACAGAGCTGAACAATATCGCCTGAGCTCGCTGGCACCACATCTACGAAGCTGCTGGAAGACGCATTTCTGAATCGCCAATATAGGCCCTCTTCAAAAGCCTCATCCGGCAGCGTTGGCGGCCGGCATTTCTTGGTCTCTTTAGACTCAGGCTAGGTGGTGCGAGTTGCGAGCTACCGCCCGTTACAAAGGGTATAGCCTATAACATCCATCGATCCATCCATTCGTCCAATAGGTACAAAGCGCCTGACTGACTTCGAGTCCTTGTCGAAGGCTGACACAGCCCTCATGTCCAATAGATGCTCAGACTCCGCGCAGGCGCACTCGCGTGGCGGATTCGGCTTATTGGCGCAGCAGCTCTAGTTGGTTACAAGTCAAGAAGGTAGGAGAAGCTCTTCCCACAAGCGTGATGCGTCCGTTTCAAATCTTTCCGCAGTCGAAAGGATAGTTCACTGAAAACGCCCCTTGTTCCGCCTCAATGGATAGATATTGGCTACAGAGCGATGCCGACATCTCTCTAACAGCAACTTTATAAGAAAGCGACCTTTGTATTTATCGGAGAGGGAACCAGCCGCTGAAGGTAGCCTTTGTATCCATCAGAGGGCGAACCTAACCCCCGAAAGTTGCATTTGTTTCCATCGGAGGAGGAAAGCTCTAACCTCCCTCTTGTGGCTTCCACAACGCTAAGTCAAAGTCGAAAGATAAGGCAGATATTTACACGAAGGCAAGACCCTTCTCCCGCGTTGGCCGCGACGCCACGGAAATGATGGGACGCTATCCATCCGCAGCTCTCAAGTTTTGAGCAGCGCTCCAGGCGAGCAAAATAGAATATTTGTCTCGCGTTTCGAACGCGCGCCAATGCGGTTCCTCACTACAGTTTTCTATGCTCCGTTACATTGTAAGTTCCAGCGTAGCAGAGGCTACAAAAGCGAGCTGCGAGCTTTCAGCGCCCCTGCCAAGCACGCGTGCTCGTGCAGTGCGAGCCTCGTTCAGGGGAACATGTAGAGCTTATTTAGTGGCACTAGGAACATGCTTTAGCATGTAGCTTCGGCTTTGCTCTCAGGTAAAGGGAAATATACGGGCTCACGAAAGCTATGAAAGAAAGCAATAAAATAAAAAAAAAAAGCTGAAAGGAATGTTTAATGGAACGCTGAGGCCACCAGCTGCATAGTTCTTTTTTTTTTTTCCTTTTTCTTTTTTAGACGTTTTGTTATCGCGCGTTTACAGTGCTGGCAGATGCTTGCTTTTGAACGTGGCACGTGCAAAATTGAACGTTACAGAGCCGCCTGGATGGTCCTGCGAGCATAACATGGTCGCGTCCTGCGGACGCGCTCGCGCCCCCTGCCCGAGAGCAACGGGTCAGCTGGCGGTGGGATATATGAATCCCATTGAAGGGCATTTGCCGCTACCTTCTTGACCTGTAAATTACTATTATAGTATAGAGTAACTATAAGCCATACAGTAACTAAAAGGCAGAATAAGTTTATCGCCCTCCTTTTCCTTTTATCGCCAACTCCTTTTTGGCAAAAAAAAGATCACATGCGCCAAATTTGATTTTTTTCCTTTCACTTGCGGAGAAGCCGCCTTGCGGTGAGCCGGGTTTAGTGGTCAATGGGAGGAGCGCACAGAGCCAGGGCGTGCACCAGATGCAGAAAGCGAGCTTGACATGCTCTTTTGGTCAACCAGAAGCCGAAAAGAATCCAATAGCGGTGGTATCGAGAAAGAGTTTTAATCATGAATATCTTGTTCTAAGTTTTAGTAAGCGTGTAAGACCTAAATGTAGTAACCTTCCATGGTTGAAAATAGGGTACACATGATGTTCCGATTATGATCACGCAGAAAGATGTAAAAAACGAATCTGTCGCTCGAACTCTGTTTTTCTCAGACAGAGCATGACCACTCGGGCGGCAGATTCCTTGCCCTCGGCGCCTGGCGTGCGGATTATATCGATCGTTCCGCTAGTCGGGCTCTTCCACCATCATTTTGAATGACCGTGATTGAAGCATCTCGTGTACCATATTTTCAGTCACCGAGAGTCACTCCGCGCACTTATTAAGTGTGCTTATCGCGACCACCGGCAGGGTATTATTTACGGGTTTCGGTTGGCCACAATCGAATTTGTGAAGACGCTCTGGAACACGCCAGCCCGCTTTCGGCCAATGGCGCCTCCTCATTTGACTTCAATACTCTCCAATGAATGGCCAAACTCTCTGTATATACGGCTCTGGGTTTTCGGTTTGCGCTCGCGAAACGTAGACCTTGCAGTGAAGTACGACGAGCAGGAAGCTCCTTGAACGTTCGGACACTGTGTGCGCCGCTTAGATTTACGTAATTGCAATCTTTTTATAACGCGAGTGCAGTTTCAATGCGGCCGTGAGCAAGCAGACGACACGAGGCGCGTGGAAGCGCGCTAAACTAAATTTTACACAATTTTTTTTATTTTTTTTAATGCAGTATTGATGGCCCGTAGCCACCTCCTTTCCACTTGTTTTCTCTCTCGGCATTTTGGGCGCGTGGAGGAGAAGTGGATCAGCTTGGCCATCGCGTTGAGGTGGTGAAAGTGTATGACCAGCTCGTTCAGGTAAAGAGTGTTTGACCATTCCTTGACGTCATGAACTTTGCGCGCAGAATTTGAAATAAATCTCGCGCCGTTAATGCATGCTCTAAATTTTTTTTTCTCGCATAAATTTTTTTTTTTTTAGCATGCCTGATTTAATTAGACTGTTAAAAGAAGCATTATCTTTTCTCTTCAGTGGTCCTTTAAAGTAAAAAGATAAACGCAGCCCGTTGCCACACTCCGCTTTGCAACTGGTGCAGGTACAGTTATGCTCTGAAAGGTGTCGCCTGCTCTGCACTAAGCCCGAAAATGGCGGCGTCCACGTTCAAATCGGGGAATGGGATGCCGATACTCTAAGCGCTGCGCTTTACCGGTTCTGGAGTTCCCGGTGGAGCGAGAGCCAGAGCTTAGTGACCGTGATAAATGCGAAAGGAAAACACCCGAGAAATTACCTTGGAAGACATTCTTGCGGATTAGTCGATCTTGGCGGCGCTAGCGGTCCCGGGACAATCAAAATAGTGTTGCGTTCTGACAGTGCGATATCGGCCGCAAGGACAGCGATCGCGAGCTCCCTGGAAAGTGCACAGACAAAGGTGCAGCTGGAAAGCAACTCGTGGCCGGATGTCCGCCGCCGATGCTCTCCAAAAATAATTAAATGATCGCAAACAAAAAAAAAAAGAAAGGAAAGAAAATAAAGTGTTAGGCTGGTACACTTGGGGCCTTTATCACGCTCATGCTTGTGCGAAACTTCAGCAAAAAAGTGAAAAAAAGGGAAAGAAACGACGGTGAAAATATGTTTAAGCAGCAACATAAAAAAACAAACAGCAGCTTGCTCTGTGACACATGAGCACGGCAGACAGTAGTTGTAAAGCAGCAGTCGTACTCTTTACAGTAGATCCGCGAGCGCGCCTCAACAAGTATGCTTGAAGCATGTTTTCCTCATACATATATGCAAACTTGTACACTTTACTGAAAAATAGTAAAGAATTACATCTACAATTACTCGAGGCTGAATTGTAATTTATTACAATTACAATTACCCTCCCATAAAAGTAACTGACCGTTACCCCAAAAAGTAATCCGTTACTCTCGTGGCCTTACTTTTAATATTGTTGTCCTCAAGTAAGAAATAAAGGGAAGAGGGTTATTCAAGTTCTTATAGTTGCAACCTGTTCCATTTAATGACCTTGAGTATTTTGAGCAACAGCTGGGTCTCAAAAGTCTTGTCAGACATTTCGCGTTATTTCTTACTCAATATGTCGACTGCTACGATGAACACCATTTGAACTGAGGCACTGGATGGGAGTGCAATGTTGTTCCTCACGAATGCTTCATGCTCTGCATTGAGCTTTTCCAGTGAAGCAATGGAAGAACTCTTTACCTCGAATGCAGAGCAAATGTTCATCATTGCAGCCATTGCCAGCTATTCGAGAGATTTAGTAGATCGTTCCGATACCTCCGATACCCGCGATAACGGCACCCGATAACAATATGATGCATGCGCAAAAACGGCGCCGAAAATCGGATATCGTTATCGGAGTCATCGGACCGATCTACTAAAATTCTCTATTGTCTAAATCGCGAAGCTGTGGAAGTCATCATAGATCTAGCCAAGAGTAGAATAAGAATTGATTTGTGTCCATCTTACCGTACCGATATATATTACCAGACAATAGCAAAACATAATTGTAACAGCAAGGTGATAATTAAATATTAAATAAGGTTTGGCTCGATATTCTTCTTCCTTTCGTTCTGAACAGTTCGACGTTGGTGAATAAAAAAAAAGTTTCCAGTATATAGATATAAGTAATAAAAGGAAAAAGAAGGACACTCATAACAACAATTATTTAGAACGTCTGTTAAAACAAGGAAATGTAAACGCACGTTTGCCGTGTGTACCTTTCATGGTGCCCTCCAAAAACGCATAAAGCACGAACCGACTAGGGTGCCTTCATGTGCGCTTCGCACATGAAGGCTCCCTAAAGCGCGATCCAAACCAACGCTTCTTTTTGCGCCTGTAGGTCGTGCGGCTGCGGATGTGACGTATTTTCGTGACGTCGCGCCGCTTCTTCGCTCCTTCCGGGCGCGCACAAGAAAGTTGGTTGATTTCAACTTCTTCTCAACGCGCACAAAAACGCGCGGTGACGTAGTATGGCGCTCCTGTGTCCCGGCCAATCGGTGGAGGGCAAGCTAGTTCCGGCTCCGCGTTTCTCCCCGTCTGGCTGCCCTCTCCTCCTCCCCCCCCCCCCTTTTTTATTCTCTTCCAACATGACAACGCGATCTCTCTCTCTCTCTCTTTCTCTCGCCGTCTGGCCGGTCAGTCTGTCGCAGTTGCACCTTGCTTGTGCGCTCGTGCCTGCGTGCGCGCGTGCGCGCTCGCCCGAAGTTTCGCCCGTCCAAACCAAAGCGCACGGTTCTGACTCAGAAAGCGCGCCCGGAAACAGCAAAAACGCCACGAAATGCGTCACATCCGCAGCCGCACGACCTACAGGCGCAAAAAGGAGCGTTGGTTTGGATCGCGCTTTAACCGACTGCAGTTTACTCCGGTGCTGGGGTCCCCCCTCTTTCTAAATTTTTTTTTTTTTTGTGAAGTTGAGCGCAGTGACAGTCACGCGAATTGACCGGCGCAAAAGGAGGCTTGGTACTCTCCAGTGCCGCAAAGCCTTTTTTTTTTTGCAAAACCAAGTTTCTGATTTATTTTTTTTTTTAGACCCTAGCGTCAATGTCAAAAATCTGAGGAGAAATGTAGCGGATTTCAAGGAATCCGTTACGCCAAAAATGTAAGGGAATTACTTTAAAATTACTCTAGAAAATATGCAATTATTTCGTTACTAAATTACTGATAAATGTAAGGGATTACAAATAATTTCGTTACTTGTAACGGATTACGTACAAGTCTGCATATATGTATGCTTTGAACAGAGATATTTCGTGTGAACCATGTGACAGGACCCGAGGAAGAAGCACGCCTCAGACAGCGTGTGCACGCTGACGTTTGTACGATGTGCTCTAGCAGTTTGACCGCGGCTTGAGCGCTTTGGCACGACTTCAATCGAGTTGGTGCAAACAAGTGTAACATGAATATCGAGTAAAAAGTTCTCTATAGTTGCGCCAGTTTTTTTTTATCTTGATTCTTTTCTGGGCGGTCTTTTCTTTTTCTTCTTTCTAATTCCCTAACAAAAACACTTAAATAAATACAAAACAAATATATAGGGTGTCTCAAGTCACCAGGTTCGATCTAAAATGGATCGTAAAAATCGACGCCTGCGCATAGCAATCTAAACTTTTTGTCAAAGGTGTATTTCACAAGTCGGTTCTTTCTAGTAAAATTACAAAGCGTAGCTCCCTTTCTGTAAAAATAGAGCCAACAAACTTGCCAGGGCCAACGGCGGAAGGCGACGCAGACGATTGAGTCAAGTGGCGGGGTGCGCTTGGCGCTCGTATTGATAGATGGCGCTACCTCCTTATCGAGACTCAGTTCCTGTATACACGGACTCAACTATGTTACGTCGCGGCGCGGTGGTAGCGCGTCGAACGCACTTCCGGTCTGGGGTTGTGGGCGGAAGTCACCATGCGAGACGTGCGAAAGAAACCAGACAAAAACCTGCCTTGTCGTCATAACGCCGTGACTGGGGCTGTACCAAAAGAGTCGAGAAAGGCTTGAAGTTCAGTTTTCATGTGCTCGGCTCGTCCGCAAACGTAGATATCTACCGTGAAGAGGGAAAACCAGACATCGTCGGTTCATGTTTGCTGGGCGTGAAGCACTTCAGATTGCATTCATGGATATTTGTGGTCATCAGATTTATTTGTTTTGTTCCATCCTGAACCACGACCGGACTGGAAGCGCGCGCTCTCTTTCTCTTCTTGCGGCCTTTGCAATCGCCCGGGAGTCAATGGCATTTTTTCTCCGTATGTAGTTCACCTGCTTGCCGCCAGGGGCGCAACCACCTCACCCCACTTCACCCCCCTCGGAGAGTCTCTTCGAGCTGCTTTGCGCTGGTGTTCGAGCTTCGTATGTTGTTGTTTTTGCAACGGTTTATTGAACTTCGCTCTAATTTAGGTTTATTGAACGACACGAGCTACAAAGGAATTGATTTCAAGAGGCCAATTTCCGCGCTAGACGAGCATCGAGTGCCGTGGCTTGAGAAGGAGTTTCCACGCTACATAAAGAACATTCAGGAGAGTTCTATTGCATCAGGAGGGGATGGTTTCACCCAAGCAAGATGTCAAGCTTTGCTGTTTACTACATCGTCTACTGTAGAAACAGTGCGGTTTCTTCTAGAAAGCGGAGTCAAGAATGTGTTGACCAGAAAGTTTAACAGTGACCCAGATGAAGCAATCTTTGGACGGCTACGGTCCATGTGTGGAGGGAATGACATGCTTGATGCAGGGAGCTGTCCCAGCAGCCCTTGATCAGATTGTCAAGAAAAAGGCCCCTTCTAAGCGAATACAGATGTCAGACACTGATTCTGAGCAGTTGGCAGCGGGTGTGCCCGACTCGGTTACCACTGACCTGAAAAAACTGAGAGCCTTGCGCTCCATCTCCATCCGTGACATACTCTGGTCTGGCGTACGTCGGTGGCTATCTGGTGAAACTCATTAGTGTGTTTGGGTGCGCCGCCTGTGTTATGCTGTTGACTACGAGTAACACAGGTGATCCTCTGTTTGTCTTATTGCAAGGCCAGGATAAAAGCGGACTTCATCATCCAAATCCTAGGTTCCTCGCACTTTTGAACAACATTGTTGCTTTTTTTTTTTCTTAAAAAAAAAGGCTATTAAGCACCTTCCGCGTACACATGTGCAAGAAGTTCTGCAACTACTCATTGCAACCTATCTTGAAGACGCGCCAATCCTAAGTTGCCCAGAAGGCATTGACAACAGTCACTCAAAGCGCTTGGCTGGTTTAATTTGCAACAAGTTCCTCAGAATACTTCTGATTAACCATGCAAAGACGGTCACGGACAGAAACGAAAAATCAGCTGGATATGTGCACAAGCCCTCGAGGAAGCACTTTAGGCTGTAATATGCACTTTGCGAAAATTGTACAGACTACTATACCGTCGTCTAAAGCAGCTGACCGACTTCATGTGCGGCCTATGAAATGATAATGCAGAGCACGGCAATAGCTAGATTGGGCGTGCTTACATTTCACGAGAGTGTACGAATTATTTATAATTTAAAGTTCTTCCACGTAGAAGGGGTCCGTCTCCTCGTGTTTTTGAGTTGCAACGGAAGTCCTGGAGGTAAAAACGAGTATAGTTTTTCCGCAATTGCATTCGCTGTCTCTACTTACTACTCTTTACTCCCGAATCTCTCGGAGATGTGCGTCAAATATTCACCGTTTTGGGCTCATCAGAAGCGCATTAGATAGTGGCTGAGGGTCTAAACGTAAGGATCAAGTGTCAAAGGCTATAAAAATCTCGGCCGCAAGTTACGACAGCGCTGAGATACACTGTCAGACGTGCTCTGTGTAAATGGCAAACGGCAACCGGGGGGTGAGGTG